ATGAGTGAGAGAAATCGAAAGATCAAACAAATTGTATTGTTGGTTTATTTTAAGCAAAAGGAAGGTTGTGAGTTCTGAATAAAGTCAAAGTCAAAATCATTTATTTTAATTAGACCAGGAAGGCACTTTTGAACGTTAATCAAATATTAAAATATTAAAAATATGAGTCCGTCGGTCAGTGCTCTAGTACTCGTTCCAAATTGTAGATTCCTATGGAGAAGAACGAGCAAAAATTTTTAGAGGTTAACCCTTTTAATATGAATAGAAGTAAATATTATTGTTTTTTATATTTGAAATTAGATGATGTTATATAGCACCGACCCAAAATACCTTAGGATACTGGAAAATTCATAACATAGTAATATCAGAGAATGATTCAAAAAACCAGACACGGTAAAATTACGAGAATCCATTGCCTATCTTAAAATTTTCTATTTTAAAGTAAGTGAAGTTTAAAAGTATTTTCCGGCTTCACTACAAAATGTCCGCTTAGTACGTCAACACAAGCTGCATAAAAGCTTTTACTCGTTCGGTGATGTGTTCGTCATTCGCACGTCGCGTCGGTCCCATCGATTCCACTTCGGTGCAACTCGTTCATCCTTTGGGCTGCACCAGACTGGCTACTTTAATCTTTAATTCCCAGTTGCAGAAAAATACCAATTTTTAGAATAAAAAATGTAAGAAAGTGTTAGGTTATGTTAACGTAAGTATTTTATCATTTTTGAGAATGTTCAATATCTTAAAACGGGGTGTAAATAATACATATTCACCCCTCTTTTGTCCCTACCTCCAGATTCCTTTTCAAATTGTTTTACCGTTACCTTGTTTGTTCTGGAGCACGGTACCTTACAAAACATGATAAATTCGTCTATCGTATCGAACCGGACCGAATACTAGTTAGGCTATTCTGTAAGAAGTCAATTCGAACTCTTGAAATGAGCTTGATCGCATTCTCGCCCGTCATTGGCTATTTCCCTTCAAACTAACAAATATGTCAGTTTTCTATGAATTGTGTATTGTGACGTCACGTTTTTTTAGAGTCAAACAGCATGTATAAGTACTTATTTCTTAATAATTATCTTGGAAAAATACTGAAATTCAGTTGGTCATAAAATCAATTACTGCAAGTGTAATTATTTTTTAATATTGTATTGTATTGAACAGTCGAAATAATTTAATTTTGATGAAGGCAAGTACCCAATTCTCACAAGTACTCACAACTAATGACAGTGCGGACCGCCATCAAGTTCACTTCGATCTTTCGAATTGAAAGTTACAGAATAGCTTCGCAATTTTGACCCGAAACGGAGTCCGTAGCCATGAGCTATGCATTCGGTTACGGTAATACGTTATCAAGCCGCGTGAATATTATCAAGTCGTCTCACGACTATTACTATTTTATATACATAACATCACACCCTTATTTCCGAAGGGGTAGACAGAGGTGCACACAGAAGTGACACCCACTTTTCAATATTTATGTTATGAGTCCCATGTAATAGGGGGTGAGCCTATTGCCATATACCGAGCACATTTCCAGATTCCGTGCTACTACTGAGATTTTTTTAAAACCCAGTAATACTTTGCCCGACCCGGGAATCGAACCCGAGCCCCACTGCCCGGCAGTCGCACTTGCAACCACTCGGCTAACGAGGCAGTCGATAACTATGTTATAAAATGAAATGTCAATTGATATTGTTTATCATCCTTTTGCTTTTTGCACAAGTTGTCGCACGTCTGTATTGGCCATTTCAAGCAGAGTTTTTGAGCGAACATGCTCAATTACCCTCAAGGGGTCACGGGATATTCGATCATTTTGTCGTCCCGACCACCGACCGCCAGCGTAGGATTCGTGCTCTCCAATTTATGAACTTCACTGAAGATGGTCGCTATGGGTGGTATCTATTCTGCATCACATTAATAAATGTGAAAGTTTCTTTCTTTGGCTGTTTGTCCGTTAAACACACTGAAACTACTAAACGGATTTTGATTTTTTGATCAAATTTTGTATACAAGCAGGGTTTTTCTTAAGGGGGGAAAATCATCGAATGACTGCTCTCGCCTGGGAGGAGCGGCAGACTCTTACTGACTAAAAACCACCCCGTTCCTTCTCCTGCACGTCGAGCCAGAGCCCCGGTAAACCGTTAGGTTCTCCGCGACATACAAGCTGGGTATGGGCTGACTTACGTGAGAAAATAGATCTCGTTTAAGTGCTCCCGTAAGATAAAACAGGAATTTATCCCGTAAGAAAAATCATATTCTATGTAGACTAAGTCGCGAGCAACAGCTAGTAACTGTATAAATATGGCTATTTAGTTCAAATGTTCAGTTTAATGAAAAGTGGGTGTTACATTTACAGTGGCATTAAGTGCCGTGATGTGCACCTCTGCCTACCCCTTCGGGGATAAAAAGGTGATGTTATGTTACGTTTCCAAGTTTGTGCAGTGCAACTATATCTAAACATTAGTTACTCCCACACGGTTGCATCTGCTGCTCAGCTCATAATGATAACGTAGCGTGATGTGATCTTTTATAACCTATGGTCTTCGTCAATAAATTGAGTATCGAACATTTTTTTTATGGCATAAGCCGGTAAACGGATGGCAAGCAATCGGCGCCGTCCATTGACACCTGGAACACCAATTTGCGTTTACAAGTGCGTTACCGGCATTTTGGGAATACGGTAGTTGATAGGTAGTCAAATTCAATACTTTTATTGAAATGTCAAAAACAATACTTTTCTATGAATTTCGCATTGGATCGCAACTTATGACGTCTTCATAGTTCTGCGTCAAATAGTATACCTACTTATTTCCTTAAAATTAGCGAGAAAAAATCCAAAAATAGGAAAATTGTCAAATCAATGGACGAGAATATGATTATTATTTAATTATTTATTGCATTGAAAAGTTGAAACAATTTATTTTAAACCTAGGAAACTACCTAATTAGGAACTTAAGGATTGTGAAGGATTCGGGGATTGGGGAGCCTGGGAAGGGGGGTAATTGGGCCTCCGGTAACCTCACTCACACGACGAAACACAACGCAAGCGTTGTTTCACGTCGGTGTTTGTGTTGGTGATTCATTTTCATTTGAATCAGTAGTTCTGGAGACTGGCACATTCAATCAGTCAATCGATCAATTAGCTACATAAATTAGTCAATTTTGCATTCTATGTCATGAAATAATGCACAACAACACTCAAATGTAATGGATGAAGTGACGTCATCCGATTTATTGCATCCTGAGATACGTGTATATTTGTCCCGTGTGTGAGTGCAGTTAGGATTAGCACAGGAATATAGGCAGTAGGCACATTGTCCTTCACTTCTTTCATCAACAGATCTTCGTTTTCATTGGATCTCTATCCAAATAAATCCATAGGAACTATTGTGAGAAATACAAAAATAACTAAAAATCGCGGGTTACTGAGGTGAATATACTGAGAAAAGCTCTACTAGTTTCGAGCCATAGAGGGGCTCTTACTCACGAGTAGCGTGAGCGATCGCGGCGATGTCGTGCAGCCTACTCTGTGGCTCGAAACTAGTAGAATTTTTCTCAATATATTCACATGAGTAACCCACGATTTTTAGTTAAATACGGTAAAATGGGGTGAATAGGGTTTGAGCGGCGAAAAGGTGGGGTGAAAAGATATAAGGAAATTCTTCATAGTACCGATTCACCCCTCTTCTGTCCCTATTCACCTCTTGATCCCTATTCACCCCATTTAACGGTACATAGGATTAATAAGTTGACCTACTTATATGTGCACTTTACAAACTTTTGAACTATAAGGATATTTGAATTTATTAAAAATTTATTATAGATAATAATTATTTTTTACACACAACACTAAGCCACACTTAAAACGAAATACCTACTTAGTTAAAATGATCAATATTTTGTCATACTTTGCAATTGTAGGAAAAACCACACATCATTCATTACTTTTCCTTATTGTAATTTAAACAGATTAGGTCATTGAAGAGATATTGGGAATGCTACCGATTATAACTGTAACGAAAAATTTATATTGTGCTAGTTCCCTATCATTCAAATTTAACAGTACAATTCTGTTTATTTTATTTATTTATAATAATTACAGGTTTTTAAAATTGGTTTATTGTTCGAATAGTTATAAGTGCGATTGCCGGGCAAGCGGTCTCGGGTTCGATTCCCGGGTCGGGCAAAGTATTACTGGGTTTTTAAGAAAAACTCTGTAGCACGGAGTCTGAAAATGTGCCCGGTATATGGCAATAGGCTCACCCCGTATTACATGGGACTCATAACATAAATAGTTAAAAGTGTGTCTTACATTGTACAGCGGCATTAAGTGCCGTAATGTTCACCTCTGCATACCCCCTGATAAAGGGAGTGATGTTATAAAAAAGGGTTTAAAATTTTTTTTGTGACATCAATCAATAAATGTTGAAAAATACGCCATTTAATAACTCGACCGTGACTCAAACCCATATTATATCATCCAATCTCATCGAGTGCACTTATGTATGCTACTGAGCTCTTGTGTCACCGATAAAAAAAAATTGAAAGTCTATTCATGTTGCGTCTGCTGGTGCGTTAGGTAGAATATAATCATGGAGTTCAATGAGAAGCGTCAGGTCAAATTTCTACGTATCAAGATCATAAATTTGCCTGTACCTGTATTTTTACAATACCTTTCGTGATGCATACTAAATTAACTAAAAATCGCGGGTTGCTCACGTGACAGCCTGCCTAAATGCAGTCAGTAGTCTGCGCGACATCATCGCCGCGACTGCGCACAACCCCTCTGTGGTTCGAAACTAGTAGAGCTTTTCTCAGCATTTTTATTCACATGAGTAACCCGCGATTTTTAGATTTGCCCGTACCATTAAAAATGCAAGATTATAACATAAAATTTTACTAGTACAGGACCAGTAGTTACATCTAGATGATAAAACCACGTCAATTATTTGTCCAAATGAGGGTTTTTGCATAGGCGTTAATGGCCAACGCTTCTGTCAACACAGAGATGTTAAAAGTTACCAATGGACTATTATTTTACTGAATCTCATTTTCTTTATTTATACTGTTTTACAATTAAAATGATTTCAGTTGCTAGTCGAGTCATCTAGTGGGTGTAAAAACCCTCATTAGGTGTTAGAAAATTGACAATACATTTTAAAGTATGATGTGTATCCAACCCTCTTCTTCGCTTGAGGAATCGTCATTCGAAGGTTGCTCGTGGGTCCGTGGCCAACCCGAGTCAAAGAGTTTGGTAATTAAGAGGGTGGATATCGCTCCGTTTATGCTTCTATTTCTCTTCGCTTTTTCACTTTCATAGAGTGGAGCAAGCCGTACAACTGTAAAGTTATTTGAACGGTTGTGCTGCCCTGTAACAGAATTAATTTACTTCTTCACAAACTGTCCCTTGATACAGTCACAAAGTAGTGTTATTAACTGTCGTACTTAAAATAAATTAATATTTATGTAACCCAGTACTTAGCAATATTGTTTTCGGAACAAAATCGTTACTAAGGCTCGAGTGAATAGGTTGCTTATGGGACGACGTGTTCCATCGTAGACCGCATCATCGCTTACCACCAGGCGAGATAGTGGTCAAACGTCGGCCCATCAAATATATATTTAAAAAAAGTTTAAATAATTATTAAAAGTCTCTGAGTACGACAGTAACAGTTTGTCGTAACTGCGGTCGCCAGCAGGTCAAGCTTTCGTTTCCTATTAAATTTCTTGATTACATCTTCAACATTATTGTATTGACATAAAGTCGAAAATCCAATGAATATTGACAGATTGGAGTAGCTATGTGGCGAAAGCATAGAAGAATACATTTGCCACCAACTGTACTCCTCCAACAGACGTACCTAATAAGAGCTGTTTAAGCGACTACACATGTAACAGAAACCTAGATGTGCTCACTCTCTATATCTGAGGGCTTAGTACGAGTTTGTTTTATGTTTAAAGTAATCGAAATGAGACCGCGATCGGCGCTCTGATTGACCGGCTCCAATAAACCAAGCAATCAGAGCGCCGAACGCGGTCTTAGCCGCCTGACCGTTGTAAACTGCAACCTCCATCTCGCTTGCCAAGCGTGCAGATTACGGCAAACCGTCCCTAACCTAGAGCAGGCCAATCTACACAGATAAATAAAATTGGTGAGCTGTTTGTGATATTTAAATAACCGCTTCTTACTACATGCGTATTCCAAATATAATACATACTATACATATACCAAACTATTATTTTTTTACAATTTTTGCCTGTCTCTGCCTGTCTGACTTGCTAATCTCTGCAAAGGCTGGACTGATTTTGCAAGACTTTTATTGGCAGGTAGCTGATATACTAAGGAGTAACATAGTAATATAGTATTTGGAAAATTGAAACAAAAAAAGTTATGTTCTAAAATTCATATTCTATGCGGACAAAGTCGCGGGCAACAGCCAGTAATTCATAATGGTAGACTATTATGGATTGTTGATGTGTCCGATTATGTCTTGGTTTTATTACTCGAAATACTAAGATATGTCGTGTCTAGTATTGAATGTTGGTAATTATTTCGTTGACTATGACTATGTTTGCCAGAGATTGTATTCCCTGAACGGTATATATAACCTGGGGTCTTCAAGGCCCGAGTGAATAGGTTGCTTATGGGCCGACGTGATCCATCGTTGACCGCATCATCGTTTACCACCAGGCGAGATAATGGTCGAACGTGTCGGCCCATCAATTATGAAAAAAAAACTATCTCACCTCCCATCGTGTGATGTTCAATGTAGCAGTACGTGTAGCCAGTTAGGGCTCCAACTGTTATGGCGGTGGCAGTGATGGCAATGAGGATCAGGGTCACTGTTAAACAGACTTTCCAGCGAGGCTGACTGGGAACATAACGTATGACAGACAAGTTCAGTAACTTAATCAGAACATTTAAGATATTAGTTAGAGCTTATTCGACTATGCCACGAATACACAAAAAAATTTTTTTTTAATGGGACAAGCCTGCCACATCCTCCCAAAACCGCTGCAACTCCTGTAAGCCAGGATCTACAGTAGATACAACCATGAAAACATCGGAACACTGAAGTCCGGCGCGTACCAGGGACATGAATAACTGTCTTGGTTCCCGCAAAGAAGTGAATTAGAAGATATTATAAGAGGAGAAGAAAAAAAACTATAGTTTCCACTTCCCTCGGTGAATTATGCAGTAATTCACCGAGGGAATACCGGAACGTAGATCTACGCGAGACACACTGTATTTTCTATTGTGTCTCATATGCTGACACTCGTGTGGTCGAAAATCTAGTATCACCACTCATCCGTATCGGGTGGTGGAGAACATATTGCAGTTGCTTTCTTGAAATATCAATGTGCAACTAATTTTCGGTATAATGATACTGATCACAAAATAGCAGAGGCAAAACAAATAGAATGATCATATGATAAAAATACATACATATAAATAAGATTGTGTTTTAGGTTCTGAAATTATCATCGGTCCTGAATTTGCAAATAAGTTCATTAAATCGCAAGAAATCTAATAATTTTTACTTACTTTTTAAGCGGGTCTGGCACATGGTCCACTTCTAATACGTTATATCCCAACATTGTAAGAAGTTTGAAAAATTAAAAATAATATTATTGTATTTGTAAATTATTATAAATATCATTCTACGGAGTGAAGTTTAAAAAATTAATAATATTTTTTTCTGTCAAACTCTCTGGATGTTGCGAAGGCCAGTATTTACTTTAGTTCTGATTTTTCTACTCATTGATTAGTTTGCATGTAAAGTAAATTAAGTATCATTTTTTTGTATATATTTAGTTTAAATTATTTTAAAAAACTATCACTAAAGTTAAAAACTATTGCAACCTTTTTTTTCATACTTTTTCCTGTCAAATATTGTATTTTTATACTGTGTTCTATAATTCATTATTTTATTGTCATTGAATTATACATTTATTTTTTGTATTTTATTTATTGATATTTTTTATTTTTTAAAGCGTCGTATTAGTGTTCAATATGTGTTGCGGGGGTGGAGGATGTGGAGGATGTGGAACCACCATTGGAAACTGGTTATATATTTTCGAAAAGTAAGATCAATGGTTATTCTAAAACAATACCACGTATTTTATTACCCACTTAAGGGAACACATATGGTAATAAATAAATTAAAATGTGCCTGTAAGTTACGTTATAGTCCCAATTTTACCCATAGGGTAACTCGAGTGATTGGTAGTTGCATTTGTGACGACCCGGATTTTTTTTTATTTTGACACAAATATTACAAAGTACTTGTGTGCAACAGGCCTTATATATCGTAAAAAAACGTACTACTTTTTTATGGAATAGGAGGCAAACGAGCAGACGGATCACCTGATGGTAAGCGATCAGCGCCGGTCACGGACACCCACAACACCAGAGGAGTCACAGGTGCGTTGCCGGCCTTGTAAAAAGTAGTAACTACATAGTAGGCTCGTCCCCTATTTATTACATAGGTATTTAATATCATGGGACTCATAATAAATCTGGTAAGTAGGTGTTATATTTTATAATTATGCGCATTATGCACCCTATCTGTCCCTATGTAACTGAAAAGGTATGGCGCTGCCATGTTCAGCAACTTTGCTTAAAAATATTGCTTTTTTCAGATTGGCGTCATTTGTGGCCTTAACAGCAGTGGTTATGTGCCTAGTATTGACACTGTGTATCATGTTGGGCCTTGGCGTAGGCCTTGGTTACAATTATTGCTACGTCGACTTGAAAGTTATGAAACGTAAGTATGAGCTATCTTTTCAAAACCACCTATGTGTGATCCTAGAAGCTAAAAATACCGGGGATTCGGAAAGAAGGTGCACGGCCCATACAATATTAATACCCAGTTTAGAAGTAAAAAGTAAAACTTGTAGTTAACCTATTTTGTTCTCGTACAAATTTTTTAAACTTCTTACTACTGGCAGTAATACCATGATTGGTGATTTCAGCGGGTTCAAGTTCGGGTTCAAGGAGATCAGGCCAAGAGCTTGATGAAACCAGTTTGGAGACTCAGGACTTCAGGCGAAATATGGAGGCAACTGCCCCATTGCCTCAGAGGACCGTCACCTTGCCCACAATCAAGGCAACGATGCAAATACCCCTTAACGGAGAGATTGATCTTGCAGCACTGTTTTCTAAATTAAGGGGACGAAATAGAAATGTCACCTTAGAACTTGTCACGTGATTCTTTTGATCATTTACCAGTATTCGATATGACGCTATTATTATTTTTTTTTGTAGATTTTCTTTATTTCTTTTTCTTGTATTGTTTTTGCTACTTGCACTTTGTTTATCTACTATACACTACTTTTGTGAAATGATTATATTATATTGGTTTTCCTTTCTAACTTGTGTTTTGACTGTGTACACATTTAGTTTATAAAGATTGTAGTAACAATTTTCAACGGGATTTTAAATATTAATTATGGGATTGCGGAAATGAGTAGAAAAATCATTTGGTAGTGGGCGATTTGGGCCGTAAAATGTTCCAAAATTTCTGTTTTTTGATGAAGAACTAAGTACTTGTGGACTCGTTCAGAGTTTCCTTTTTCTCGACATAGGCCAGTTATGTACGACCTAGTTCCCTTATGTGTCGTTCTATAGTTATTTTTTTTATACCACGACGGTGGCAAAGTGCACATGGCCCACCTGATTCTAGTACCGAGGCCGCGCTCTCCAACACGGCCGTCTCTTTGCAAACTCAATGTCCTTTGGCGCCTGCACTGTGTCTGTCTGTCACTGACAGGATGTCGCTCGATGATCCAAAGAGTTTAACACATGGTTTAACACAACTTTATTTTTAATTCTGTCAAAACCAAGTCAAACTATGTCACAAAGATGTCAAGTAGTTTACTCTTTGTTAGTGAGTGAGCCAAGCAATAGGCGTGGTGTCTCATATATTTTTAGCTTTTATAGCTGTATTTTCAAAACACACGTAATTAATTCAACTTTATTCAAGATGGGGGTGGCAATAAGTTGTATGTCTAATATTATGTACTTATCTGAAAAGTAAGTCTGTTTTTGCACTTTGAGCGCTATTGAGTTCTGTAGCTTATCATGTAAGTTGATGATGAAATCATAGTGGACGAACATTGCAGGAAATGGTCTTATTAATGAAGACACTTAGATCATGCGTATCAAGTATTTTTATTCAAGTTCAGTTGTTGAGGGTATCCACGAGCGAAGCTGATTTTTTTTTTTTAAAAAAACGTTGCCCCACTCTAGGATTTTCTCCTGTGTCGTGGGTGCGTTTACGAACATACAAGTTCACATACACATGACACCCAGACCCGGAATGATTGCTTACCACCAGTTGATATTATTCCATAAAAATCTTACTTGTGAACAATATCACAAGTGGTTCAAAAATTGCACCTAACTGGTCTGCTTAGGGGTATTTCAATACGTTTAATACTAAGTTTCTGGGTCAGTGAATGTCACGGAGAACCTAACGGGTAACCGGGGCTCCGGCTCGACGTGCAGGAGAAGGAACGGGGTGGTTTTTTAGTCAGTAAGAGTCTGACACTCCCTCCCGCCTCACCCAGGCGTGAGGAGTCATTCGATGATTTCCACACCTTAAAAAAATGGTTCAGTGAATATCCTGTTTTACAATTAGGGCTTTTATTATGGCTCTTGTTAATCTCTGTATATGAAAGATAACTTATTGTTCGAATTCTAAAGTTGCAATTGTATATTATTAGATATAGTAATACAGACTACGTGTATTCTCTAGCAGAATTATAATTATCCACTGAACAAAAGAATTTTTACTAAGTTGTTTAAAATCGCTATTGTTTTCAGAATAATACTATATTCCACATGTGTGGGATTGGTTACATCCGTGGTACTAATGTTCGTGGTAACATTGGGTATGGGTATCGGCCTCGGATACAACTATTGCTTCGTCGATATGAAAACTAAATATAAATATGGTAATTATATCGGAATACTACATAAATACTCGTTGGCCGAGTGGTCGCAATTGCGACTGCCGGGTAAGGGGTCTCGGGTTCGATTCCCGGGTCTGGCAAAGTATTACTGGGTTTTTAAAAATTCTCAGTAGTAGCACGCACTCTGGAACTGTGCCCGGTATATGGCAATAGGATCATCACCCCCTATTACATGGGACTCATAACATAAATAGTGAAAAGTGGGTGTTACATTGTACAGTGGTATAATGTGCACCTCTGCCTACCACTTCGAGGATAAAAGGCGTGATGTTATGTTATGTTACTACATAAATAAGAAAATACTTAAAAAAAACGAACTTAAATGGTAGCATTTTATGTCAAAAGATGTATGATTGTATAAGATATATGATGTATGATGTATGAGATATGATTTGACATGGGACTAATTGCTGAAAAAATAAATATCGGGGTTAATATAAATTGATTTTACGACTAAATATTTTATTAAAATTAATTTCTTTATTTTTATAGTACCTGGTCATTACGTTTACCCCCACAATCTTCGCTATCCCTACTATCGTAGAGCTGGAGATCAAGGACAACAAAATCAAGGGGACCAAAATCAAGCACTACAAGAGGACGCTACTTTAGATAGGGCTGCAGAAGAACAAAAAGAAATTGACGAACTAAGGAATGGACCAGTTACCCCACCATTTTATACCCCGGTTGATAGACGTGCTGAAATGATGAAAAAACTTGGTTTAATTAGTAGAGACTACTCTATTTTCCCAAACAGTACAACGGAAGCGTATGATTTTGATAATGAAGAGGATGTTACTAATACTACAGTGGTAGAGGTTGATATTGGAACACAGTCTGATAATATTACTGCTGCTACTGAAGGTACTGAAACTACTGAGACTATCACAACTACTGAAACTATTGAGACTGACGAGACTACTGAGACATTTGAAGCCACAGATACAACTGAGGCTACTGACAGTAAAACTGACGATATGTACAGTGTAGAAGATCCCACACAGGAACCTGCTTTTCCAGATGAGAAAAGAAGAGTTAAAAAGCTAGTGATTCCTATCAGCGGTTTGGACCTAGTAAGTCTTCTATCGAAACTGAGTGCTGAAAAAAATAACCATTCCCTTCAGATTGTAACAACTTGAATTTAAGATATATACAAGTATTTTTCTATATTACTTTATAGTATTTTATATAAGAGTTTTGTAGTCTACTTTTAATTATGTTTTTAATTTTTAGAAGTATTCCGTTTTCATTGTACGAGTACTTCCAATACCAATTTTATTTCGATTCTCGATCTTATGAGAATATACATTCTATACTCTTTGTTTATTTCTTTTTCTTTGTTTCTTTTTAACTTTAGTTTAATAGATATTAAATTGGCAAGAGCGAACAAAAAGCAAAAAAGTACTGACGTGTAAAAATGTTTTGTAGCCTGTTTGCAAAAATAAACAATTATTTCAATAATTTCAGTACCTTTTAATAATAATAATAATAATAATAAATAAGCTTTATTGTACACCAAGTAAGTAATTACACATATTCGGATATTATAAAGAATAAGGAGGGTACAAGGGCGGCCTTATCGCTAAAAGCGATATCTACCAGGCAACCTTTGGGTGTATGGAACGATGGTTAATTTAATAGGGTAGTCCAGGCATACATAAATATTAACCACTAACAAAATAAATAAACAAACATATATATATATACTAAATTATATACACATACATGCATACCAAATATATATATAAATAAATACATATACATAACCATATATATATACAATCTAAATAAGTATATAAAGGAGCTAATACGATTCATGACGTAGACAAATAATAATCTTTAACTTTAGCTTTAAAGGAAGCAAGTGACTGTGCTTGTCTCACCGACACTGGGAGTGCATTCCACAGGCGAACAGCTTGGATCGTAAAAGATTTATCATATGCCTTAGTAGAATGCTGAGTCATCCCAAGCCTCAACCTCTCCGACGCTCTCAGGGATCTTGAATGTGTGTCATGGTGGAACTTGAAACGTTCTTTAAGATATTTAGGGGTTACAGGATTATACAGTATACTGTAGAGTAAGGACAAGACATGCATATTCCGGCGAAGGCGGATTGGAAGCCACTTGAGTTTGTTGCGATATTCGGAAATATGGTCATATTTGCGTAAACCAAATATGAACCTAATACCGAAGTTTTGGAGCCGCTCAAGCTTATTTAGCTGTACTTCAGTAATGTCTAGATAGCTGGCATCGGCATAGTCAAGGATGGGCAGAAGAAGTGATTGAGCGAGCGCAATTTTGGTAGCAGTAGGAAGAAAGTTCCGCAGTCTACGTAACGATTTCACCGAAGCAAACATCTTCCGACTGACCTCCCCCAGCTGGGGTCCCCAAGTAAAGTCCCGGTCTATAATAACACCCAAATCCTTCACTGAGTCGCTATACGTTAATGTAGTGCCATCGAATACAACCGGTGGGACCTGCGACCAAATTATTCTTGAGCTCAGTCGAGAGCTACCCACAACAATGAGCTGGGTCTTCGAAGGGTTAACCCGTAGCCCATGAACCTTACTCCATTCCGAAATTCGCGCTAAATCTGTGTTGATCATTTTAACTGCTTCGGAGAATTCGTGAGGGGGTGCCTGTGAATAAATTTGCAAATCGTCAGCATACAAGTGGTAGGATGATAGAAGGTCGTTGGAGATAGAATTTATGAAAATTGCGAAGAGTAAAGGAGAGAGAACGCCCCCCTGCGGTACGCCAGCAGTCGTAGTAGACCAAGAAGAAAAGGAGTCTTCAATATGGATTCGCTGCCGGCGGCCACACAGGTAACTACGAAACCAATCAGTCACAGCCGGAGATATGTTAAGAGAGTTCAGTACTCCCAGCAGTATATCGACGTCAACGGTGTTAAAGGCATTGCTGAAATCCAGCAACGCCAGAAGAGTAAGATTACCGTTCTCAATGCCAGATCTAATGTCATCCGTAATGTTGACTAATGCTGTAGTGGTACTATGTCCCGGACGAAACCCGGACTGGAAAGGATTGAGAAGATTGTATTTGTTGAGGAAAACACTAAGTTGCTTGTGGATGAGGCGTTCAAGGACTTTTGATAGGAATGGTAAGATAGAAATGGGGCGATAGTCGGAGAAACTCCCAGGTTTAGGTTTTTTGGGTAGAGGAGTAATTTGTGCTTCCTTCCACAAAGAAGGAAACACAGAACTGGTCAGGGAATGGTTCAGGATGTGGCAGATGATTGGGAGGATCTCGTCCAGGACAGGGAGTATCATCTTACGACTGATACAATCACTACCAACTGCATTGGAGGCAATAGCAACCACACTCTTCCTAACATCACCAGCCGCGATCTGATCGAAGGTGAATGGAGAATAATCAGGAGTACGAAGAGAAGAAAGGTAGCTTAAAGTTTTAGATTTGAAGGATCCATTGATATTGGACGATGAAGAGAAGTGTTTATTTAGAGATTCGATATCAAGGTCTTTAGAGATAGCATCATGACGCGGTTTTCCGACGCCCATAGACTTAAGAAATTTCCAGACCTTAGCTGGATCTCCGTTTTCGACAGATTTGTGAATGTGGCGGCGTTGTGCATCTCTACACATCCTGTTGCTGCGATTGCGAATATCAATATATCTCTCACGGTTCACAGGACTAGGCTGGCTTTTAAATTTGGTTTTCGCAGCAGCTTTTTTCCGAATCATGACCCTGATCTCCTCCGTCAACCATGGAGCCGGAACGTGCTTAATTTTAACCGGCCGCACAGGAGCATGGACATCGTACAACTCACTGACTTTGGTGTTGAAAATATTTAATTTGGCATCAATGTCTTCAGTGGCGAGAAGTCCAGACCAATCTATGTTGCGCGCATCCTCACGGAGCCTCTCAAGATCCATACCACCAAAATTACGCTGGAAAAGAGTTTTGGGTTTAATACATTGACGAATAAAGCTCGATTAATGATCATGGAATGTTTTTCGCCACTTTCTTGTGTAGAGAACATTTGATTGAGTAATCTTCAGAAAGATCGTGAAAAAATTAATCAGTGATATAAAAAAAAGCAAGGATCTTGAAATAATGGCTGTGGCACCTGGCTACTATAGACTTACACGCAGTATACACACACATTGACACGAAAGACATCTGTCGTGTGACAAGGCCCGTCATTACACTTCATACATTACGGTGTTGCAAGCATGTACCAAGGAGTATAGTATTGTTATCTCTGGTTCTAACTAAAGAGTACACATTGGATAAGTTTTAGTTTCCTCTATACTTATTATATACTCTTTGGTCTCAGTACAGACATTATACGTCATAATTTGACATTGTCATAATAATATTTTTGTACACAAGCTGTTTATTTTGTGTTAGACTTTTGTGAGTATTTGATAAGATTTTACAATATTCATTGATGTATCAGCGATCAGTGTATAGATACGGATAAATCTTTAGCTGAACCTACTAAGTATAGTCTGAGATAGTTTGACGATCGTGGTAATACGTTATTTAAGACTATGTGGTTCGTTATTCTTGTATTATATAAAGTAGCTAAATACATATGAAGGTACAGTTCAGGAGATTGATCTGTTAATACATTTGGAATTACATGTACGTACGTTAAATGTACGTTATATATATTATGTATGTACGTTTTCAATGCAAAACTTTACCTAAATTGGAAACAAAATGGTAATCGTTATGGTTATAGGTACCAAGTATAATTCTTATAATAAAAAAATGTGTGAATTCATAATAATTGGGCAGAAAAACCAACTTTCCCTTTACAGCGCCTAATTTTTTTCTCTTAGCAACCATTGGCTCCAGTTCCTATTTTTCTTTATATAATGCTTCATATAGGTAAAAAATTGTAAAGAATCTGAAATTATAATAATAACACTTACCAGTTGATGGCTTTCTGAACGGTTGCGAGGATTCAGAGCTTAGGAGAGCTATAAACATAACATCTTTATAGCAAGACTCTTGACTAAACGACTTTTAATCTAGTCGGAAGTACATAAATATTATCTTTGAATTTCATTCCTATCGCCATTATTACAGTTTATGTTTATACATTATTTAATAAACTTACATATTTGTGGAAAAACCAGAAAAGCGTACCTTCAAATACTAAGTAGAAGCCTAATATTATAAATATTATTTATATACCTAATATCTAATACTAAGTTATTAATTTATATATTTTATATCACCAGTTATCATAGCAATTTAATAATTGGTGGTGGTGGGTGTGGAAGTGGGTGGAATGGGTGTGTGAGTGGGTGGCAAGGGTGGCATGGGTGTGGGAAAGGGTGGAGTGGGTGGCATGGGTGCGGGAGTGGAAGTTGGAGATGCGTCCCAAACTCACGCTTCTCCTTGGGTAACTCCTGTGCTAACTTGATCTGCCACTGCCTGTGCTTCTTCCTCATGCTTGGAGCTGTTGGTGTTATACTTTTAATGGTATTCGACGCCATAATATGTAAGTTCTAATTTATTATGCTTTTATATATAATATTGTCTTGACCGTACGGTTGACGCAGTGGCTAGGTAGCCGGCTGCTATGCAACGTGTTGTTCCCATCGGAACGATACCTACTTTATGTGATCCACAAATTTGCAAAATACGACTCGTATATGATAAGAAAATCTAGTTAGATCAAAGTTTTTTTACTTAAATTAATTATTAGTAGTTTACCGACAACTGACATGTCACCGGTTAAAGGAACAGAAATCAAAGCAGTTTAGCAGTGCACGTTTTCACGCAGATACCTATTGCACTCTAATGTGCATGAAGGCTGTCGTATTAACTTATTTATTTGATACTAGCTTCTGCCCGCGACTTCGTATGCGCAATCAATCCCGTTCGCTCCCTCCTTTTTTCTGTCATAAGATCCTTCTCCTGATCATAACACAATAAAAAAATCAGCCAAATCGCCGTAGCCGTTCCAAAGTTATGGCGTGACAACAGGAAACTGGTTTCATTTTTATATACGTATATTATAGATTAAAATTAACACGCTTGGAAAATTCATGAAGGTAGTTTAGTTCAAATACCATTTCTAATTCTTTACGAAGTGAAAGATGCTGTTTTACAAGAATAGGGTCGTGTCCACATTATGCATAAT